CAATCCTGAAACTGTACGCTCAGATTCTAGATGCCTTAGAAAATATTGCTGAAGACCAGACACAAAAAGGAGGTATCGAAAGAGAAGCTGAAAACATCACCAACAAAATGCAAACACTAGAGTATGTGTTTATGTTGGTTATGTGGAATAATATATTACAGCATTTTCATCAGCTGAGTCAAGCTCTCCAAGATTCAGAAATAAATGTAAAGACATGCACAGATCTCTATCAATCATCAATAATTTATTATTAATAAATTAATAATTTAAGAGATTTTGAAATTTTTGAAAATACAACAAAACAAATACTGCCGAACACTGATCATCAAGCAGTTCACCATCACAGAAGCATTAGAAAGAAACAAATGGTGGAAGTGCTCCAGAAGTATAGAGTGCCACAGACACAATGTTGTGTGACCACATAATACACCATAGTTGACACACTTCAATCTTGCATGAAAAGAAGGGTGAAAGTGTATGAAGTTCTTTCAAATAGATTTTTCTTCTTAAACAATGTGGATATACTTGATGAAGAATGCACGAAGGCATCCAAGAAATTAGTGCAGGCGTATCCCGATCACTTAAATACAGACCTTTCTGGGGAAGTGTGACAATTTCATTCTTTACCTGAGAACGGAGTTTACAGATTAAACAAAGACAAATTTTACCCATGTAGGCATGTATGATTCCATAATAGAAAACAAAATACAATGCTCATTTCCCAATGTTGAAATTGCTTTATGCATATTTCTAACTTTAATAATCACAAATTGCACAACAGAACACTCGTTTTTGTCCCCAAAAAGACTCAAAAACCCTCAGTGTACAACAGTGATTCAAGAAAGACTTGATTCATTATCCTTATTAGGTATGGAAGTAGATATTGTTTGGCAGCTTAATTGTGATGAAATCACTGAAAAATTTGTAAGAGCAAAGAATAGAAAGAAATGTTTTTAATTATAACAGAGATGAAAGCCCTATCTAAAAATGAAATATAATAATTTGCTGCAATATTTGTTTTCTGATCACTAAATTTTCTTTTATGACATATATATAATCACATATCCTGTTCAAATGTGTGAATAAGCAGAGGAGGGGACACCACAGATTATTAGTGTTTAGGGCTCTCACATGCCTTAATCTGGCCCTGAAGGGAGCACATTACTCATGGGTGATATTGTTTATTTTATAAGCTGATCTGTAATTTGACTGAAAGGTGACCTCCAAAAATAGCTTCAGTTCCAAGTTCAAAGGGTATCTGTCTTAGGCTGGGTTCCTTAGTGTAGTAAAACCAGTGAAGTGTATATAAAATAGAGAGATTTACTTCAAGGAAATGGCTCACGCCGTTGTGGAGGCTGGCAAGTCCCAAATCTGTATGTCAGGTGTCAGGCTGGAGGCTTCTCCAGACTCACGTGGTTTACAGGGGCTGATGAACCCAAAATTGACAGGTCTAGCAGAAGGCTGCTGGCTCACAGGGTTGTGGTAGCTGGTGAATTCCAAAGTCTGCAGGCCAGGCAGCAGGCTGCTAGTTCACGTCCCAAGAACTGGAGGTCAGAGGATGACAAGTCAGATGCAGGACTGAGAGTGAGGGAGCTTTGCCAGAATATCCATATATATTGGATGCAGGCCACACCCCCAAGGAAACTCCCCTTTCAACTGATTGGCTGCTCACATCAGATCACATAATGGAGGATAATTATATAATATCTACCAAACCACTGAGAATCATGGCCTAGCTAACCTTAACCATCACAGTATCTTAGGGAGCTAGTCTAGGGGCTTCCTGTAGTCTCTGTTGGCCCAGTAGGCCTGGCCTTTTTCAGGAATTTGAAATTTGTTTCACATTTTTCTCCAATTCTGTCCTGGACCTTCTATTGTGTCCTTGGTCAGAACCGTCAGTATTGGTAGCCAGGCACCATCTAGTTCTTCTGGTCTCAGGTTAGAAGAGGCCATGGCTATTCATGTGGGCTATTAGTCCTGTGGACTGGTTTCTTCTTTGAGCCTTTAATTTCCCTCATTTGCTTTTGCTCCATATGAGTAGAGACTGGAATTGGCATTTTTTGATTGAGGTAATGTCTATATGATTTATTTCCATTTTTTTCAATGTACTTGAACCTGCTGGAACCATAAACAGGAGTCACCACAGAAGGAGGTTGGAGAAGCTGGGCTCAAGGAATGACCCTTTCTCTTTGTAGGTAATCCTTGAGGATACTGTAGAAGAGATCTACCTGGAGCCTCCAACTCCCCCCTTTACTCTTGGCTGAAAGGCTCAGTAGGAAAAGCTTGTCAATGCCATTGGAAGGAAATCTTATCAATGAAAATTTACTTTTTTTCCTAGTAACGTATATTGCAAAGGTCCACACATTTTTCTGAGGAGCATATACGATACTAGAAACTCTTTTGGAGGTGTTCCTAGAACTACTCTTGAGCCTGAATACGGACCACTGATATGACATATGTGTATGACATATGGTAGCTATTCTTACCATGACGCCGTGATCTAGGACTTGATGATCAACTGCAATCCAGCCTGATATAGATAACAGGGGAAATTCCATGAATATTAACTTGTCGGTTCATTGCTGAGCAGTGATTATGGAACTGGCTGTGTCTGGGACTGAGCTGAGTTTCCTCTTTCTGAGGTCAGCTTCAGAGATTAGGTTTGTAGATCAGAGGTACTTCACTGAGATTCCAGGATGAGAACCTTGGGGACATGGTGGCCTGTCCTCATGGCCCTGCCCCTGCATGTTTGGTGTCCTTGGAGTCAGAGAACATGGTGTCAGGCTGGGGATCCTGAGCCAGGATGGATGCTGTGGCCCCTGGGGCACCTAGGCTCATGGCAAGACCATCCCTTCCCTAGACATGGGAGCGGCTTCCAGCCTTCATTTGAGGAGAGGTTAGACTAGGTGTGCTTAAAGCAGTTATCAACAGGTACCATAATTATAGATATTCCTCCTCCACCCCCATTGAGTTTATCTTGCAAGAACAGAGCTGTAATTTCAGCCCTGTCTGTTTCTAGCTACCCTCTCCCCAGTGCCCAGGCTTGCTTAACATTCTGGGTGAGGAGATGGAGGTTTAGCCTCTGATTTTCATTAACTTGACCCCAAGGTTATGGAAAGGTAAGGCAAGCTATGCATGTGGGTATTGCTCCTGTTGTAGAGCATTCATGGGCTGGATCTGGTGAGGGTAATGGTAATATATATACCCTGAGAGGAACAGGAAGGACTTAGGGGGTTTTGAGTGTTCACCAACGCTCACATCTCGATTATGCTTCCTGGCCCTAGAGCAAAGAACCTTTGATAAAGTTGGCTGCTTGGAATTGAGATTGAAGTCAGACTTGCATAAAAAACATCTAAAGATATGTTAGTTTCTTAGTTAAAAATGAAACAGAACAAAAAACAGACTTCAGGAGAGCAACAAAACTATTGTAGAACACATGGTGACATGTCCATGATGTGAGGTTTGGGAGGACATCCTCAAGGAGCATGTATTGGCCATGCTCTCCCTCCAGTCCCTGCCACCCATGCAACTCTGGCACTTTTTGTTCTTGTAACAAATTTGGCCTGGATTTAGGCATGCCTTTTTAATATCTGAGAGCTAAGAACCCCCAATTAAAAAATGTTTTTTAAAAGACAAAGTGTTTAAAAAAGGTAAACTTATGAGTATAGGAATGTATACATTGTTTCTTCTTAACCTGATAGATCCAATACTTGGCTTTTTTCAGTGGTTCTGCAATCTCTCTGTTTAACTCTTCTACAACATTTGCATAATTATGCTGCTCATTGATTTCCTAAGGGAGTCCCTGGGTGATGCAAACGGTTAAGTGCTTGACTACTAGCTAAAAGGTTGGCAGTTCAAGCCCACCCAGAGGCGGCTCGGAAAACAGGCCTGGGGATCTGCTTTTTAAAGGTCACAGTCTTGAAACCCCCATGGAGCAGTTCTACTCTGCACACATGGGGTTGCCATGAGTTGGAATCAACTCGACAGCAACTAACAACAACAGAATTTCCTAAGAGTCTTAAGGTCTTAGCTCACCTGTCTGCTGCTTTCTTGGTTCTTAGATAAAACAGCTTTTTCTTTAGACTTTCCATGTAAGGATAGCCCTGGTGGGACAGCTTAGACTGCCTTCCTTTCTGAAGGTTTGTCTCCTAGAGTGGAAGGACACCATCCATTTTCTTACTTCTTTAGGCCTGGCCCAGTGGGTAAGAGCTGAGAGACCATGTTTGGTTCAGGGCAGTGTTTGCTAAGAGGTGACTGTGCACGTGGTTCTAGGCTGATCACAGCCAGCTACAGGGAATCCACTTTCATGTCCTCCTTTAATGCTCTTTTGCTAGAAACACAGAGTGAAATTTTTGTTTGTATTGGTTAAGCTTCAAGGACCAGTACATTTGTGGACTTGAAGTGAGCATGCGCAGGGTACTTCCCCCACCAGATTCCAACCATCCGGGTCCACATTTACAGAATGTAACCGAGACCCAGAGGCAGAATCTCAGGGGAATGGATGACACTGGTGAAAAATGTATACATACATAATGTAAAACACACTTGTATCAATATAAGCATACAGAATCTTCTGTGGAAAGGTGTTTTTGTAGTCCAAAGGTCTGGATCCAAATTGTAATTCCACCTCTTTTTGGAGTAATGACTTTGCAATGTTACCTAACAGTTCTCTGAACCTCTCTTGTCATTTGTAAAATGTAAAGTGGGGGTAATACAGGCTTATTTCAATGGGTGACTATGAAAATCAAATGAGAGAACATGCATGGGCATTTAAGAGTTAACAGCCACTGACAATGATGATATACTCATACTATGGAATGATATTTCTTGAATCTTGTATCTTTCTGATACATACCTAGACCTATAAATCACAATTAGTTCTTTTTCTACGTGGTCATCAAATGAAATTTGGCATTGGGTTCCTGAAAGAATGAAGTTCTTGTAATGACCCAGTTTTGTAAAAGATGACTCAATCTCTCACTTGTTTATTTGTCCAACAGCGTGCCATGTAAAAGGTGTGTGGTGGTTGGTAATGGAGGTGTTTTAAAGAATAAGACATTAGGGGAAATAATCGACTCCTATGATGTAATAATAAGGTATGTATTTCTTATTTCCTAACCTAAATAATTCCTAGAATTGTTTCAAAAGAACATGATTTCCTACTATAGTACAGTTGTGTTTTTAAAAGGAGGAGAGTTGTTTGATTTGCTAACGTACTTAATTACACAACCTTTTCTCTCAGTTGCTGGCTACAGTAGATTTCACGTCGTTCATTCAGCAAATATTTTAAGTACCCTTAATATGCCAGGCAAAGTTCTAGGCACAGGAGATACAAGGCATAGTGAGTAAGAACAATGTTCTTGCTCTCTGTGGAGCTTCATTCTAATACAGAAGAAAAGTGATAAATAAGAAAATGTAGTAAGAAATGCCATACAATTAGAAAAATGATATGCTATAGATTGAGTGGCCACTTTAGAATGGATGACCACCTTGAGGAGGCATTTAAGCTGGACCTAAGTGACCATACTCTGAAGATTAGCAAGAACGATCCAGGCAGAGGGAATGTTTACTGCACTTCCTAAGGAGGATGTGATCCTTGGTTTTGAGAGGAGCAGCAAGGAAACCAGTGAGGCAGGAGGGCAGCAGGCTGGGAGAGTGGGGCAATCTGAAGCTTAAGAGGCAGGCAAGGAGCAGGCTGTGCAGTTCTTTGTAAGCCACATTAGAAGCTTGGGTTTCATCTCAGGTACAACATGAAGCAAGAGAGCAATGAGATCTGGTTTATATCTTTAAAGTATTCTGGCTTAGGGGTGGAGAATGGAATATGAGGGACAAAAGTGGACATGGGGAGGCCAGTTAGGTTGTCGTATTCTGGTGGGAGATGACAGTGGCTTGAACAGGTTTGTCATGGCAGAGGAGGAGATAAGTGGACAGACTGGAGATAGCAGAAGGATAGTTAACAGTATTTATTGATGTATTAGATGTGAGAAGTGTGGGAAATAACAAAACCAGGATGCCTCTGCCTAGGATTTTAGCCTAAGGGATTGGCAGGAGGGTGGCTCTATTTATTAAGCTGAGGAAGACTGGGCTGGACTAGGTTTAGAGGAGAATCATAAATTCTGTATGAACATCTTAAGTTTGGGATGCTTATTAGACTTGTAGTAGATACGCCAAGCAGGCAGCTGGATAAATGGGTAAAAGCTTGATGGCCAACAGTCTATACAGTCTATTAAAACCATAGAACTAGATAAGATTTCCTATGGAAAGACTCCAAGAGAGAAGAGGGCCCAGAACTGAGCCTGGGAGCTTTCAACTCTCAGAAGTTGAGCAAAGAGGTGTAAGAGATGGAGAGGATCCATCAGTAAGGGATGAAGAAGATAGGGAGGTGATCACAGAAACCAAGAGCGCAAAGTGTTCCAGGACCGAGGAAGGGATAACTATGTCCAGTGTTGCTGAGAAGTCATTTAAGGTAAGGTCAGAGAAGTCACTACTGGATTGGCAGCCTGAAACACACTGACACTCTTGACAAAAGTAGGCTGGGAGGCATGATGTAGGGAGAAGGCCAAGTGGAGCAAGTGGAGGAGAGCATGACAGGTGAGGAAGTGGAGAAACTGGTAGAGGTTTCTCGAGAGATTTTGCTGTGAAGGGATTGAGAAATGAGATGGTAGCTGGAGATGGAACAAGGGAAGATTGTTTTGTTTTGTTTCGTTTAGTGAAGATAGGAAATGAGTAGAGACTGGTATGGTATGGGGGGGGTTGGGGTGAGGTCCAGAGCACAAGTATGGTCGATCTTCTGTAACAGAAAGAAAAGTGAAGATTGTAGGCACTGCTAGAAAAGAGTTCTGTAGATGTGGTGGGAAAATACGGATGTTTCCATTTGTTTTCTCAATGCAAGTTTGAGGCAAGGTCATTATCCAGGGTAAGTGCATGTGTTGGGGGTGGTATGGATAGTTTTTTGAAGTGTAGGAAAGCTAGCACACGGGGGCAATGCATTAGGATCACCTGGCAGTTTCCCAGACTTACTAGGGAGAGGTCTTGCTGGGTTCCAGGCTGCCTAGGTTCTCTGCAGAACAAGGCCATTTGCCAGGAACACAGAATTTTCTGTTTATTATCCATTTTGAAGGAGCTGTGATAATTTATCCACAAAACAATTTTGAAGCAATCACAAATTTCTCTACCCAGAATTGCCTAAAATCTGATCACTTAGAACCACAGCAAGCCCTTGTGGGAAAACACCCCTGGCATAACATTCTGAAAGTCATTTCAAATATTATTAAGACTGTCTTAAGTTACACAGAGTCAGTGGCAAAGATAAAACAGTATTTATCCTCCTAGGGGACACTGTTTTGGAAACAAAGAACTCCATTTTTATAGCAAGCCTTCTTGGTGTGTGTATAAATAGTGTAAGTCTAACTTTGGCGTTGCGCACATAAAAGCCCAACAGTAGATTCTTTGTGGTCCTTTAGTTCACTTTAGCAATAGACTTTCATTTACTTGTGCTCGGGACTAACAACAATTTTATATTGTTACTTTATTTTAGAATGCAACCATTTTTATGTGTCTTCAAATCACCTCAAAGGTGATTCTTCTTGCCAGTCACACAGACACACATCCATGTGTTATATGACTGTGTGACCTTTGGCAAGTAATCGTCTATCTCTGGACCTCAGGACCCTTATTTGTAAATCCAAGAGATTTTGTCAGGTTCGCTTTAACTCTAGTATTCTGTGGTTCTGTGTTTCCATTTATTTAGTCTTCAGTTTTCCTGGAGATAAGACTGAATTATCTATCACTGGCTCCACAATTGACTTTCTAATACAAATGACTGTTTCTACCTTTGATCGAGCAGCTGTTTCATGAAATGGAATGGTCTTGCTGGCTATCATTTGAGAAAGATTTCCCAATTGTTTTGTGGCTTTGAGCACAGGATAGATGGCTAATACTGGACTGTCCCATTCTAAACCTCTGAGAATTGTGCTAGAAATGGTTCATACTGCACTTGGTCTACATTTCTTGTGTTTTACTACCCACAGAATGAATAATGGTCCTGTTTTAGGACATGAAGAGGAAGTTGGGAGAAGGACAACCTTCCGACTTTTTTATCCAGAATCTGTTTTTTCAGATCCTGTTCACAATGATCCTAATACTACGGCGATTCTCACTACTTTTAAGCCACTTGATTTAAAATGGCTATGGGAATTGTTGACGGGTGGCAAAATAGTAAGTTGGCAAAATTGATCTTGCCTTCAGAGTACCTTCAGTTTTTTTTCCCCTGGAAAAAACAAACAAACCACAATGTACTATTTTCTGTATTGTTACTTTATTTCAGAACAGTCACGGTTTTTGGAAGAAACCAGCCTCAGACCTGATCTATAAACCTTATCAAATCAGGATATTAGATCCTTTCATTACCAGAACAGCAGCTTACGAACTGCTTCATTTCCCAAGAGTGTTCCCCAAAAATCAGGTACGTGTGGGACTCTGAACTGTATGAAAAACACCACACCTGAAGTGGCTTCTGAGGGCCACATCTGAGTTAGTGAAGTTAGTTTTCTGGGGATATTATCATTGTTTTACAGGTTGCAAGGCAAAGAACCTCAAGTGGACAGCTTTTTTCTGTCCTTGGGGAGCCCTTGGGAGGCCTTTCCTGCATGCCCCCTGTAGCTCATCTCCTATAACGATGCCTAGCATGTTCTGTAGCCAGGAGTGGGTTGCTGGGCAGACTTGTGCTCCAAGTAGCAGGACTGGCTTCAGAACAAGTGCATGGCTCTTCAAGCGTAAAAGAACAGTCTGAGAAGCGCTCTGTGTAACAAAAACATCAGAGGACAGCCAGAGGGAAGGGGAGGAAGGACACAGATTTCTGGGGTTATAGAGTAGTTTGCACTAATTTCTCAGGAAATGGTAGTTACAGCAATATTGAGAGTTCTTGAGACTCCATATTATTTAGTTAAAAGAAATCCCCTTGACTTTGACCCTTGTACTCCTGTGTATGTATACTCTCTGGAAAACAATACACTCTAGACCCATAGTGGCAGAGAGGTTTTCATTTGGAACTTGAGTAACTGTGTGACATGATCTCACAGCTGAAAAGAGGTTTTCCCCCTCTGTAATGCAGAGAAAATCCAAAGAAATAAACACACACCATGTACCTTTTCTTCAGCATGATGAAAATTGTGATGAAGAAATTAGAAAGTATTACAGGCTTAAAATCATACAACTTAAAAAGGAATGTTTAAAAAAAAAGGAAATCCTCCTTCTCTTCTCCCTCTATAACCCACATCTGTCTCCCAAGCTTTCCTGCCTTTGATGTCCTCCCAGTCTGTTCTGTTTACAAACACATGCACACACACTTTTGTTTGGTGTTTGCTTTTTCCCTGTTTAATGAACTATTCCTCTATAGACATCTAGGTTTGTATCCATCTTCACGTCTGTAAATAATGCAGTGATGCATACAAATGTAGATAAAAGAACCATAGATATTTTAAATCAAAATCCCATTTCTTAGTAATCTTGAGGAGGAAGAACAGCTTTTGAATGTACAGTTTATAACTTCTCAGCTTCTGATGTTTTTTTTCCCTAAGTCTGAACAGATTTTTCCCTTGCTTTTGTTTGGGGTAATATCTTTAACTCCCTGCATAGAAAGACACTGATCATGCTTAGAGAGGATACTAGGACTGGTTGTAACTAAAGTCAGTAGAACATGGTATCCCAGAAGCCAAGTGAGGACACTGCTGTATTTCAGGAGACAGGTCAGCCATGTTGTATGCTGTCCAGAGGTTGAACACAAATAAACCCTGATCTGGGAAACATGGAGGCCATATTAGTGATAATTTATGAGGAAAGGAAAGAGGAAGAAAGCTGACTGAATTGGGTTAAAGAGAATGAGGGACATAAGCAAGCAGAGACAAATCTTTAATGGAGTTTTGCTGTTAAAGGAAGCAGAGAAATGGAGCAATAGTAGGAAGATAACATAGAAATCAAAGAAGCAAGGAAGTTTTTTTTTTTTTTTTTTAGATGATGTGTGCATGCTAAAGGGAATGATTCAATAGGAGAAAATATTGATGATAAGGGGGAGAAAGTGGGTAATTGTAGAAGCAAAGTTGTTGAGAGATGGGGTAAAAGTACAGTAATGAAAGTGTTGGCTGTAGGTAGGAACAGGGACATCTCACCCACTGCAAGGAGTGAACGCTGAAAATATGGGGAAGGATGCAGGCAAGAGGGTAGATTTGGAGTTGGGAAGATGATGTTGCTCTTGTCTGTTTGCTTACAAAAATAAGCGTTAATTTGTCAAAGTAGGAAGGAGGCTAGGGTTGTTGGGGGATAGAAAAGGATAAAATAGTAATCTTGGGAGAGGGAATGGATATTCAGTGGGGGAATGTAACTGGATTGCTGGACATACTGAATCCCTGTTTGAGACTTACAGTCATACATTTAAAGTGTAACCACGCAGCATGTTGTTTTTCTCTTGCCATATTCTGCTGGTTGGTTATACGTACATAGTAACTAGAGAATTGGGTTCAAGCAGGGTTAATTAAGATTCTGCCAGGTAGGTACTGATGCTGTGGGTGATGGGTGAAGAAGAAGGTTGAAGGCCTGTGTAAGGGAAAGATTGTAATGATGAATCGAGAAATCTAGGGTGTGAAGTAAGGAAGTAGTGGACACGAAGAGGGGTAAGGACCGGGAAAAGGTGATGGAATCAGTGGTATTGAATGAATCCTAGGTCTTCAGCCGAACCATTAACTTCCTTCTCTGGCAGATGGTAAAGGCTTGTGGTAGTCACGGTGGTTCATAGGATAAAGAAGAGCTTATGCTAAGTGCTGTTATCCTTTCAGACAAGTTTGCCCTCCCGGAGTACATTTTATTTTCCTAATAACCGTATGTGATTTTCATGGGATTCGTAAGATACATTTAATGGAAAGGAAATTTCCTTGAATTGCTATTATAAAATGTTTAAGATAAATTTTGTCTTTCCCTTTGAAAGCCATCCCGGAGGGAAAACTTTTCAGTGCCAGGACCCTCCTGTCAAACATCTACGACAATGGTTTTCAGGCGTGTATATAGAGTGTGTTTGGTTTTTTTTTAACTGCTAATGACCCCGCTGAGATTGGGCACTGCTGTATGTCTACAATATCCATTTTCGAGTCAGGTACTTACTATTACACTGTGTTTGAAGTTGCCTGATTACGCTTTCCCTGGAGCTACTGTAAATTCCCAAGATTATCATCAGCACGATAGAGCTATTTTAAGGCTGTTAATTTTTATGAAGCCTTTTACCAGGATTCTGTCCATTCGTGAATTAAGCTGTCTTTAAGTTTCATACATGTGTTCAAAATTCCTAGGCTTTGCTTTTTCCACAAGGAAGCCTGACTCAGCATGTTTTTTTAAGCTAGCAAGCATCCTTTTCCTTGAGCCTCCCAGTGTTCTTTCATTTGACAGTTGTCCACAGGGCTAATAACTAGTACCAGTTGCTGTCGAGTTGACTTCGGCTTATGGTGATACCATAGGATAGAATGGTGCTCCATATGGTTTTCAATGGCAGGATTTTGGAAGCAGACTGCCAAGCCTTTCTTCCGAGGCACCTCTGGGTGGACTCGAACCTCCAACCTTTTGGTTAGCAGACAAGTGCTTAAATGTTTATCCCACCCAGCAACTCCACAGGGCTAATTCAACAGCTAAATTGTACTTGAAAAATTTTCTAATATTTCAGTCACACTTCATAAAATTCTTCTCAGAGTTGAGGGCATATATGTGTACTACATTTTGGGCTTGAGCCTTAGGGCAATTAATTAATTAATTAAATATGATGATTCCACTCAAATATGCATTAGACACAAGTAGCTTGTCTGGAATTTTTTTCAGTTTGTTAAAATTTTCTTTTTTCTTCTCAGAAACCCAAACACCCAACGACAGGAATTATTGCCATCACATTGGCATTTCATATATGTCATGAAGTTCACATAGCTGGTTTTAAATACAATTTTTCTGACCTCAGCAGTCCTTTGCACTATTATGGGAATGCCACCATGTCTTTGATGAATAAGGTAATATACATACAGGTAATATATATACTTTGGGGTAACCTTTGATCTTTATTATTGGAAAGCTTATATTCTCTCTTCTTGCCTTTTCATTTACTGAGGAAACTGAGATTTTGAGAGATTGATGGCTTTATGGGGGTTACAGAGCTACTAAGTGCTGGACTAGGAATCAAGTCTAAGGGTCCTTTTACTACAGTAGCAAGTCCCAATTTGTGGGCCTCTGAACCCTAGGAGAACCCCCACCACCCTCCCTGCAAAAAAAAAAAAAAAAAAATCACAAACCCTTGAGTAGTTCAAAACGAAGGTGCCTGGGACAGACTCTTCTTGTTGCATGCCATCAAGTCAGTTCCAACCCACTGTGACCCTATAGGAGGTCACAGAACTGCCCCATAGGGTTTCCTAGGCTGTGATTTTTATGGGAGCAGATCACCAGGCCTTTTCTCCTGCAGAGCGGCTGGTGATTTCCAACTGCCAGTCTTTTGCTTGGCAGCCGAATGCATAACCACTGCACCACCAGGGCTCCTTCTGGACAGACTCCAGATTGGGCTTATTTCTCCTCAGCCCTAACCTCTCTGGTAGCACTTGTGGTATTTTACAAGTCATGTAAACAACATTAAAACAACCCTGGGCTGAGCAGGATGTTAAAGAAAAAACTAAGTGCCTGAGGAAAATTAGGAACCACTGAAATGACAGAATGGTTTTTTAAAAGAACATCTTAAACCACATCATGCTTTATAGTAGTTTCTTATCTCCAAGACAATTTTTTTTTCCTAATATAAGAGCTCCAGGTACTGCTTTTACAAGTGATCAGTCCACTCTGACTCACAATTTTGGTGTCTAGATTCATCCATGATTGAAGAGATGTGATGTGAGGATGGTGTGAGGGGTGAGCCTCACGTACGTGGTAGCTTAAGTGGCAAAAGGGGGCTTAGGGAAAGCTCTGGCCTAAGAATGAGCAGAGAAAAAGAAATTAGAAAGGTAACAAAAATTTTAAGTCCATGCCACTTGTTACTTAACATCCTAGTGTTTTCTTCATAAACTTTTTAGATCCAGCATATTCTGTTGCTGCAATTGTCAATATTTTTAGATTGGGGAAGATGGTTAATTTTGTTTATTTTTTTCTTCTTCAGAATGCGTATCACAATGTGACTGCAGAGCAGCTCTTTTTGAAGGACATTATAGACAAGAATTATGTAATCAGTTTGACTCAAGAATGACCCTGCAGACTTACAAGATGATGCTACCAGTATTAGTTTTATTTTTATACTGCAATTCTTAGTTAATTTTTAAGTATGCTGGATACACTTGTCAAAGATTATGTATGTTTGTTGCTACCTGGTGATTCATAACCACCAGTTTAATTTCTGTGAATATATTTAATTTATGAAAACCAAGAAAAGTTTAGTTATCAGGGAAATAATTAAAGTTTTGATTGCATTGTGTTTTTAAAATAAGCTAGTTTTCTGAGGTATTTTTAAATGTCTTTTTATAATTATTTTATGTTAGACTTTTGAAGGGATGTAACTTCCATCATAATAAGTATGGGGATTTACTTTATTGCAACTAAGTCTTAGAAGAACCTGACATTTTGAGAGATACAGCTGGCTATCGTAAACCTGTCTCATGGGGAACTGGCACTTGGCTGTGCCTTGATCAGCAAACTGGAACCACTTCCGGCCTGTGTTTAGATAAATGTTTAGTTCTTATTTGTTCTACCTGGGGAACCTGATTTGAAACTGAAATCAGCCCTGATTACATTAGGAGTATACGGCTATGGAAATCTAAGCTCATACTGGTTTAATTAAGCCTCTTTTCTGTAATTAATTAAACCAAAAGGTTATCATGAGCAATGTGATAGAATGAAGATGATTTTTTACAATTCTGAGTAGGACATAGGCTAAACGTGAAATTCTCAATCAGTAAACAACCAAATAGTCAATTACTGAAATCTGGTGGCTTTGCATTATTTTAAAGAAATAAAAGTTTAACTTTATACATGTAAGTGGAACTAAGCTAGCTAAGCTCAAGAAGAAGAAAACCCTTAAGCATTATTTTTTTTGTCTGGTTTAGTTTAGCCATTAAATTTTAAAAGTTTAGTAACTGAAGTAAACTAGGAGAGATGAGGAAGACAGCCAAGTAAGTAAACCCTTCAGAAGAGTCAGGCTGTTTTCTGGATATAAGTGGTACTTTCATGAAACGAGTTTCAGTTTTTCTTATGATTAAATCTGATCTTCAGATGGAAAGCTTACCTGGCCACCTTCCTTTACAGTAGAAGCCGTCTTAGGATCTACCAGAAAGGAATCCTACGAAATACAAACAAGCCAATTCTACAGATGTGGTGAGCTAGTCTCCCTTCCCAAAAGTTAATAAATACAATCAAAGGATATTTGGGAAGAGACGTGGGATAAGAGAAAGGAAGAGAACAGTAGAGGGTACAAGAAGGATGGCATCAAAAGTTATCAGCAGAGGTAGGAGCCAAAGAATTAATATATTCTGAATAATAAATATTATTGGGAGACATCGATGATGGTATTGACAACCAACCTGCCTCCCTCAAGACAGCATGTGAAGGGTGAAACATTAGATCAGGGTCAGAAACAGGAATACATGAAATACTGGAAAGCAGTGTAAGGGGGAGAAAAGTAGTGGTTGATTTAACCAGGCCTACACATTCTATGAGTCAAAATCGACTCGACAGCAACGGGTTAGGTTTTTTTTTTTTTTTTTCACATTCAGGGACTATGTTTTGTTAATACCAGCATACCTTTGCACAGTACCATGGTTTCACTTGATTGTTATAATTACTCTGAGGTAAAAAGGCAGGCAGTAGACTAGAATCCACACAGGTTCAGTGTGACTGGTCGTTCCCTCATAACTCACAGCCATGGGCTGCAGCTAGGCTGCTGAAGTCCAGTTTGATCTGAAGTAAATCAGGCTTCAGAAAGGATGCTGCTGACCACAGGAAAACTTGAAGTCAAAAACTTTTAGGGGCATTTTCAAATGTTGCTGTAAGCAACTGTAATATTGGCCATAAAATTTCTGACTGATGTTAACATTGAAGACTCTGGCATTTCTATAGTATGAGAAAAGGCTACAAACCTCAAGGTCGTTTTATTTAAGCCAAATAATCTGAGCAAGACATACATACAATTAAACACATGAAACACATTAAAACTCTATTTATACAATCTAAATTCTAGCAACATATACAAATACTGAGTGACTACAGTACATGCCGAGGTAAGAAAAGTACATTCTGGGAGAGTATCACTGATACGCAGCCATTTTATTTCCAATATGTGTTTCAATAAACGTTTTGTTTCCACCTTTCTCAGTGACCCCCCCAAAAAAAAGGAAAGAAAGAGAAGAACAAAGAGGAAGAGGAAGAGGGAAATACTAGTCATGTGTTGGACTAAATGAGAACTGGTGCCAGAGTTGACCTAAAAAGTCTTTTAATAACCATCCAACTCTTAGATTTTGCAGTTTAGGGACTTCAAGTTCAGAACTGAAAGGCAGAGCTAATAAGGTAGAGCTTCAGTGATTTAAGAGGGTTTGAAAAGCGTTCAATGCCCCCACATAAGCTGTGTTTCTTCTAACTGTATTTATCTGACATGGTGTTTCTAGAACCCTCTTGCTCTCCAGGTTACAATGGGGAGCATTCAAGGCAAAGATGTGCAAGCATTATCACTTTCCATAGCATTGTGACCACATTCATATTAGATGAGTTCATAGTCTACTCCCCCCTCAAGAAAGGGGGAGAGTAAGCATCTCCATAATATCATTTCAATTCCCGTATAAATTCTCTACTCTAACCATTTTCATCAGTGAATAAACCCATTGTTAAATGCAAAGTGCAAATAGTGAAATGTGAACTTAAATAACTGGACTAGACCCTGCACATACAATAGGATCATTTTAGATTTACAGCCTTTAATAAAATATAAATCAGAATTCAAAATATCTTTGTGCTGGTTTATAAGATCAAGTAACAGCAAAGTCAGTGTTATTTTATGAAACCTATAATGGCCATACTTGCTGCTGCCATGGTCTGATTCTATTTCTACAACTGTGTTAACAGGGGAAAAAAGTAATCTGATAAACCACAGTGACTTAAAGTCTTTTAAATGTTTCAAGCAAAGAATAAAAATTCAAGGGAATTTTGTCAAAAATGGTTACTTTCACATTTTCAGTTGTTACTCGATTGTCTCCAAAACTGTATATATAACAGATGTATAAATTTAGATTAAAAAAAAAAAAAGAACTAAGATTAAAACAAATGAATTAAAAGAAAAAGTACAAAACCAGACAAACCCTTTTGGATCAGGCTCAGCTTGTCACCTAGAAAGTAAAATATATCAGAGTAGTTAAAACTAGATATTTTATAAAAATCATTGGTAGTTCAAGGATCGCACAGGGGCAATGTGCATCAAGTCTTAAAGTATGCATCAGTTAAGAAAACACTTGCCTCTCATCAGAAAGCAAAAAAGTTCCAGAGGAAAAAACAATAGATGCGCAAGATTACTCAAAAACAGCATCTTTGGGAAAATGAAGTTGTTACTGAAAACCTCTCTCTTAAAGCTTTAAACAGGCATATGATTTGAGGAAAAGTATATTCTCTGTGTAGGGAGGATGATTAAAAAAAATAATCTGTTTACCCTCTTCTAGCCTGAAAAGGGATGCCTGTATTAATACATGTGCTTTACATATTCATGAATGTTTTAATAGAAGTTCAACATCTGTGCTTTTTGTTTCAAGTATTTTGAAACAAAATACGTATTGGTTCTTCCATGAATAAAATTGTGCCTCAGAGTTTGTCTGAAAAAGGAAACGCAAATGAAAAAAAAAAAGCAACTAAAGCTTACAGCAGGAGGGCAGGGAGGCCACAGAAATAAACAGTTCTATTTTGGAGGCAATGTTTTAGAATACTGATATACCTGTGCAATCAAGCAAAACCAATACTGTTCATCTTTATTCACATTTCGTAAATTTTGACAATAGCATAATCTGGTGGCACAGGCCAGCAGAAATGACTAGAATCTGATGGGAAAGTACATTTTAACACTATGTTGACAAACTAAGGTAGTATGGAAGAGGGGGTGTCAAATTTATATATTTCTATTATATGGTCGACTTATATCATCTTGCCAGTCTCAAGACTTTTAAAGACGTTTTTACACTACATTGTTGCTGGGTGCAGTCAAGTTGATTTTTGACTCATAGTGACTCTGTGTGACAGAGTAGAACTGCCACATAGGGTTTTCTAGGCTGTAATCTTTAGGGAAGCAAAACGCCATGTCTTTCTCCCGCAGAGCCACTGGCTACGTTCAAACCACCAACCTTTCGGATAGCAGCCGAGTGCTTAACTGTTGAACCACCAGGGGACTCCTTTTTTAACACTACAATAAATTACAGATGATTTCTATTTCACCCTATCTAAAACTAATTCAGCGGCAAGTAATGAACTGTGACAGAGAAGTTGCTAGGAGGTATCAAACACAAGACATGACTACTAAAATAGGATCCTTTTGCTAGGATGCTGTAATATCTGTTCCCTAAGAGTATGACATAAAAGGCTCCTCTTGCCTCTCACCACACAGAAGTAGGGTAGAATCAGGCACAACTGAAGAATACATGTTTAATTTATATTTCTTATAATAGTTTACTATAGAAAACTGAAATTAAAAATTATTTATTCAACTAATTAAAAGTTTTCTAAAAATACTTTGAGACTCAAAGAAAACTTTATATATAAAACCAAAGACAAACTCTGGCTGTTATTTTTTTATATTATTTCTGAGTGAATGATCTTGCCTTTCATTGTGATAAACATGAATGAGTCATGTTCACAAGCAGTCACTTAACCGACTTTAACTTTTCATAACTCGTCTAGGAAAAATCCCATTGCAAATAAAGTTGGGGTGGTGTGGGTGGGAAGGAATCCCCTTTATAGTGTTTCTAAATTAAAGTTGTTCCTGTTTTCACATATTGAGAAGTATACTTTAAGATATTATCCAAGACCATTGCCACTGAGTTGATTCTGACTCATAGTGACCCTGTAAGACAGAGTAGAACTGCCTCATAAGGTTTCCAAGGCTATATTCTTTACAGAAGCAGATTACCAGGTCTTCCTCTCTCAAAGCCACTGGGTAGGCTCGAACTGCCTACCCCTATTAGAGGATCTGAATTCATGAGGTTGAGCAAGTTGATAAAAGCAAGTGTCAGCCACTGAAAAAACTCAAAACAAGTATTTTATAAACACAAGAATGGTTCTGGCCACCAAGTGCCCCAGGCAGAATGAGCAGGGATGAAACCAGATCATGTACCATGAAGTGTTAAAGCTCTTAAGAGTGTCAAGAAGTGAAAAAAATCAGTCACCCTGCTCATTACAAGCCAGAAGCTCCCAGCTAACAAGCTTCCTAATGAAAAATAGAGAACTGTATATGACTGCCAACAAAACAATGATATCACAAATTATAATTCTTTAAAAAAATAAATCTAGGAAGCAATCTAGGAATAGAAAAGGAAAATATCATGATAGTACCCACCTCTCACAAAGAGCAGAATTTCAAGCCTTTAGATAGTTCAAGAACAGTACCATGCATTATTGCCAGACAGGCTTAGCGCCATCTCTAGAGTTCATAATGTACCTGCAGCACTGGTAATAAATACTTTCTCTCAGTGATTCTTAATTTCTTTGAAGTGCATTATAGAAAACTTTTTCTGTATTAAAAATAGTGTTTTACAGTAGTAACAAACGTGATGTTTGGAATTTAACAGGCAAGCAGTAACTGTGCCATAGTTATATCTTCAAAGCAAGATGGCAAGATTAGTAGTTTCCTGTACCTCGGTTATCACATTTTCCTCAACCACTTCAGTGACAGATAACGTAATACATTCTATATATTACTACCACTAATACAAAAAAAGGCCATGTGCTTTAAAAAGATGCTTTGTAAAAAGCAGCATCACCTTCAAAGGATTTCTTTAAAAACATCACATTCACCCTCCCTCCCTGCTCCTGATACTTCTTGCGTGCTCTGCGGCACCTGGTACACCAACTCATCTGGGGCACCTGGACCTGGCTTCCCGCCTTTCGGGGTGTCATACTGGGCCCTGGCAGAGGAGCAGCTGTCCGTCCTGGAGAGAAGGGTGTTGTAAGTTCCCCCTAAAGGGGGAGGCTGGTTCCCTGTGGCTTTGAAAGTGGACGTTGAGGGCAGACCAACTGAGGCCGCAGGGTGCCCCGACATATCCATGACGATCGGGGTTGCATACTCGGGCCCAGTAATAGGGAGTGGTTCGGCATAGGCATGGTAAACCTCTTGCACCGGTGAGTTATAGGGATCCAGGTCAGCATAGCCTGCTTCTTTTCCTTCTTCTGGTTTAAAGGTAGATCTCTGATGAAGTGTGCCAACAATTCCTCCCACAAGTGGTTGTGCATACTCTACGGATATCACAAAACACGACAGAAAGTTATCTTACTAATACAAAGATCACACAATTTAGGGCGGGAGCTGCAGGCTTACACCAAAAGCAAATACTTCCTTACAGCATTGTTGTTGCTATCAACACAGACACTACAGATTTTCTAACTGCAAGAACCAACTTCAGAAATTAAAATTATGTTATCTAGTATATGCCAGGAGCCATGGTGGCGCAGTGGTTAAGAACTCGGCTGCTAACCAAAAGGTCGGCAGTTCGAATCCACCAGTCGCTTCTTGGAAACCCTATGGAGCAGTTCTACTCTGTCCTATAGGGTTGCTATGAGTCCGAATTGACTCGACGGCAACGGGGAGTATGTGACAGAAAGCCTCAGTTGTGTAACTTTGCATAAAGAGCTTGTATATGTTCTTCAGATTTAGATAGTATTTCATTGGAAGAGAAATATTCCATTATTGGAATAATCTTAGTCTTGGAAAATTACTTCAGAGATTTTTTTTTCTTTTTCAAACATTAGGAAATGTTTAAAATAAATAAGTACTAGGATAATAAGATAAATACTATAAGGAACATCCACTGTATGTCTCTACTGTTCTCCTAACTCCCCGCAAATAAAACCAAAACAAACAAAAATAGGTAAACATCAAAATCTTAGTGTTTTCACAAATGAATACCCCAATTTTATGGACAGAACATCTAAGACAAAGAAACGACTCTCTCAAGGTTATCTTTTTAAAAAGTAGTTCTACTCTTGGAAATTAGCTCATCTCTTAAATATGAAAAAGATAAAGATAATGTAAACTCCGACACACTTCACCACAGGCACAGCCTCCTCCACCTTGTGCCTGAGATGGTCACGATTACCTGCAGCATCAGTCTGCAGCACTGTGCTGACCTCTCTTGGGCGGCTCAAGTGATTAACTTCGCTACTGCTGTAGTGAACCAGGGTTTCCTCGTGTTCCACTGATTTGGCAGGGAGGAACTGCTTCATTCCTTTCCACCACCCTACATTGGGGTTGCAAGAACAGAAAGGCCATGAAATAAAAACCTATGTCTCAAATGATAATAGTCAGCATCATCCAGGGAGAGATCCTGTTGCATTTAAGTCATTTCTGTAACAAATAAATACCTGGAACAAAGTAGCCTTTGTTTCAAGTTTATTTTCTGCTTTGATAGAAAAATATCTAGTGCAAAGCAGAACATGATAGAAATCACTATCAAAAGGACAAGCAGAAGCAAATCCTGCTATTAAAGTGCAGCCAGATATACTTGTCTATGTAGGAGTAGTTTCTAGTAAGTTTTTCTCAAAAAATACTTTCTGAGTTCCACACTGGGGGTACTAGCAGCCCCATGATCTGCTCCCACCGCTACCCTTGCCTACTCTGGTCACAGCAGAGACGTCTCTGCTCACAATGCGAGTTCCAGAAATGAGGCTGGGAAGGGAGAGACCTGTAGAGGCTCTGGTGCACTTGCAGCAAACTACCGTCTGGTGCACAGAGTAGGAACTCAGAAGATGACAGCTCATCATGGAAAGATGTCAGACCTCACGGACTCCTAAACTGCTGCCCTCCACCTGGTAAATAACCACGGCAAAGTGACAAACACTGTGCCAATGGGACCACAATCATTTGTTTCTTACACAGCGTTCTCCTACATCAGAAAGCTGGTCTCCTTCAGAGAAACAGACACACAGGTGAAACCAGACACATTTTCCAGAAGAAAAAGAACAGAACGTGTGCAATGAGAAATAAATAACTTTCCATTTTGTCACTTATTAACTAGGAGAGGTTTTGCAGAAGGGTGAAAATGGTCAGAACAGAACAGGAATGCCACTTTTCTAACAGTGTTGGGAGTTCCAATGGACCTAAGAATGGCTTTCTCTCACTACTGCCACCTGGAGGGCAGGGAGATGTTTCCCTCTGATAGAAAGAGACAAGAAGAACACAGCAGTTACCTGCCCGGTCCCAGTAAGGTAAGTCATAGGTGCCTTCAGTTTTTTTCTTTCTGGAAAAAATACAGGGGGAAAAAGGTTGGTAAATAGAGTGAATTCAATGGTAAGAAATCTCTGAAACAGCAGAATAAACACCAAGTTAATAATTAATCAAGAGTACACATTTCCACTTGGTAATCTACCTAGGGGAGTCCTCTATTTCATGTGACTTTCAAAGTTGCCACTGCTGAGGTGCATAAATTCTGGACTCTCAATAAATATTAAGCAACTGTCTCCTCAGAGAGTTACTTTACCCACTGAAAAGGAATAATGGGATAAAAAAGGCAAGGTCTGTAAACTGAAAAGATGGCATCAAACCAGAGACCCAGATCTGATACGTGGGTTATTATGGGCATGGTGATGAAAATCCTGTTAGGTCTGTTAGTTTTCAAATACAAATTATACAAATCAATCAATTTACAAAGTTCACAGAACAGCAACAAAAACAAAATAACATTTTCTCCTGGTTTCTATTCTGTACTGTTCTTTTTCCAACTTCCTGCCTTTCTTCTACTCTTCTCTGCCCCAGAGAAGATTCAAGTGTCACATACTTTAACTGTACGGACTAACACCCCCAGCCATCCCAGCTATCGCTAACAGTGACAAATGGTGGCGGGAGGGGAAAACATGACTGTCTAGGCTGAGAGGCACATCAGAGTCTCTGGTGAGGTGGGAGCCATGTATACAACCAAGAAGATTCTCCCCACCCCAATTCCTTAGAATTCTGACAGACCCTCCTCAGGAGAAATCTCCCTCCCTTGGTGGCACAGTGGTTCAGCGCTCGGTCAGCATTTCGAACCCACCAGTGGCAATGTGGGAGAAAAGGCCTGGTGATCTGCTCCTGCACAGATTACAGCCTACAAAACCATATGGGGGAAGTTCTAATCTGCCCTATAGGGTTGCTATGAGTCAAAATCGACTTGACGACAACAGGTTTGGTTTTGGTTGGTTTCTTTTAAGAATGACTATCTAACAAGAGCCTGTGACAAAAAAAAAAAACAAGCCAACCAAAGGACATTTTCAGATTCAAGAGTGTAAATCCAACCTAATTAAAATTAATGCTTTGCAAGATATAGAGAAAGTAGAAATTATTCTAGTTTACAAATGAAGACAAGATGGCTATGTGGTTTGCTCAAGATCACGAATATGGCTTTCACAGATAACCCAAGCTATGTGCATTTCTTGAGGAAACACTTTCTCCAGTATTACAGTATGTATTTAATATCAATATAAAAGCTCCCTCATTTTAAAGTCTGTACATAAAACATAATATTTCATTATTTCAAAGTAAAGTATAATATAAAATTTGTGGAAGATATGGTAAGTGCTGAAGCTGTTAATTAAAAACTGGAATGGAAAAGAAATTATAATAAAATGTTGGCTTATTAATAAGTACTTTTCTCCTTGAAGATGTTCTAAGTATCATAAGGTTTAAAAATAAAAGCAAATCAATAATCTTTTCAAAACAGAAGTTAGATGCTCTATATTGCTAGGACAACAAACTTTATCAAACGAGTATTAGCCAAAGATTTTATTATAAAAAATTTTATATTATATACTTAATCTCAAGTGACAAAGCTTTAGGTTATTTATTCATTGCATGGGTAGTGCCTGGCATGGGTTAAGGATTCAATAAACGACCACTGTTTTTATTGTTATTCTCTTCCTCCCTACTTTCCACAACCTCTTGATGACATCTCCTCCTCCACTCCTCCTCATGAAGCCATCGTCAGCAATTTCAACTGCGTTCTTAGTGGTAATTCAATTCTCCAGCTCAGACCTTTTTTTTTCCTGAAGACCAGGCATGTATTCCATCTGCCTCTTAGGAGTCTGAATGTCCACAAGGTCCTTTAAACACTGCCCCAAACTGATCTTAGGACATTGTTCCTGCCTCCCTCCAACAATCCCACTCCCCATTCCTCACCCTCACATCCCGGTGCTTTAACCACACCGGCTTATACTTCCAGCTGCAGCAATGGTGAGAACATGGGCCCTGAAGCCAGACTGCCTGGTCCAGATCTCTACTCTGCCATTTACTGTTCTGAGGATGAAATGAGTTAATATACAGAAAGCATTTAGAATAATGCCTAAGATTAACATTTAATTTTCACTCAAAAGTAGCTACTGCTGCTGTTACTTCCATGGTTCCTATTGTTCCGTTGCCTGAATGCATCATGTACTTTCCCTTCTGGGACTTTTCTAAGGCATTTTCCCCTCCTTCTTTCCCTACTGCCCTCTTTGGGTCTCTGCTCAGACAGCCAGGAGCCTCCCTCAATGCCATGAATCTGGGATCCAGGTGCTCCTCCTGCTTCCCCCATGGCATAGATTCTGTGGTTGGTACCATGGCTCATAGTGCTCTGCTTTGCAGTTTAAGCTTTGAGGTTCAGCAATGGATCCCGCAGCACATGGCACAGTACCTGACACAGGGTTGTTGTTGTTAGATGCCACTGAGTCGACTCCAAGTCATAGCTACTTACCTATAGTAGAACAAAACACTATCTGGCCCTGTACCATCCTCACAATCGTCAGTTATGTTTGAGCCTATTGTTGCAGCCAGGATAGGTGCTCAAATACTTGATGAATGGCTGAACAAATGAAGTCATTCTCTTTCTCCACCAAATCTGTCCCTCCTTCTCTATTATCTCAACTCACGATATCTCTACTGGTCCAACTGCACAAGCTACAACTTGACATCATCCTAGATCTCTCCTTCTCCTTCTTCCTTGGCAGACATCCTGTTGATGTTCTGAAACACCTCCCCCTCCATTCTTCTCCTTTCCCTGGAGTCAGCTGCGTTAAGGTCCCGCCTAGACTCAGTATACTGTTTGCTAACTCCTCTCACTGCTTCTTCCTGTCTCTCTCCTCTCCAATCCACCCTTCATACTCCTGCCACTATCCTTCTACAATCATCTGATAATATCACCCTTCTGTTTAACATTCCTTGATGATTTCCCCATCTACAGAATGAAATCTAAATCCCTTGGTCCCAGAAAGCCTTTCCTGACCAGGCCCAGACTGCATTTCTGTGGCTATCTCTGTTTGCCCAACCATGCCATGCCCATGGAGGGTGACTCACTAGTCTACCTACATTCCACGTCTCTGTGCCTTTGCTCACACAAGCCTCTCAGATCGAGGCCATTGTCAACCTTCTGCTACCTAGCCAACTCCAACTCCTGCTATAAGACCAAGCTTGTGGATTGCCTTTTCCCTGAAGAAAAGACTTTAGATAACTCTCAAGGTTCTTGCATCTATGTTCACTTCATAAATAGCTCATCAAACCATATTATAGTTCTTTATTCTGAGTCAGTCTACCCTGCTAAACTATGAACACTTTGGAGACAGGAATTGTGTCTTTTATTCTTTTAGTAAGTAATACTAGGCACTCATTCTCTGCCGGAAATTGTTCTTATTTATCTACATATACCACTGTTTAGCACAGGATCTGATACAGTAAAGGTACCCAGTAACTGACAGTTGAATTGAACCAATTTGTTTTTAATTGGAATGAAGAAATTTACATAATTTTTATTCCAATGACTACTTTAACTCTCCTCAAAAAGTCAGCTGTATTTCATCGTCTACAGTGAGTAGTTTTTGAACATACCTCTCTAGGCCCCAGCAGGTGAATGAGCTCTGCACTAACCTGTTTCTCCAATGCCAAGCACACACTAAAATAAGAATGAGGGTGGTGAGCACCATGACTAACACAGGGACAAGGACTGCTGCCAACGCTACATCTGAAATAATGAAAAAAAAGTACATTAACACCAAAGGCAGAAATCACGAGGAAACAGATTGAAAGGTTTTACCATATCATCATTCAAACTGGATAATATATTTTCTGGTCATATATATAAACTGGTAAAATATATTTCTGCATATGTGATAAAGAGTTAATATAATTAATATATCATAGAGCTTTACAACTAAAAAAAAAAATAATGGAAAAATCAGCAAAGTAGATGAACCAACAATATATTAAAAAATACAAGTGACCACAAAACTTACTGGCCTCACTAGGAACAAAAAAATATAGTTAAAATAAGAATAAGGCGCTATTTTTGCTGATCAAATAGGCAAATATTGAAAAAGCAACAACTAACTGTGGAAGAGGATGTCAGGAAACAGGTGTTTTCACGGGAATAATAAATCGATACTAATTTTCTGGTTGGCACCTTGGGGCAGTATGTATAAAAACCTATTATTTGGCAATTCTATATCTAGGATTTATTCTTAGGAAAAAATTAAGAAGACATGCAAAGATGTATCTTTAAAAATGTTCATATCCTTTCTCTGAGTAAATGTGAAAAACCAGAAGTGATCCAAATGCCCAACACTGAGAGGGAATAAATCACGGTGTCCTTACAGTGGAAGACAATCCAGCAACGAAAAAAGATGTAACAACAACTAGTTGCAAAATATTTACAGAAATAGGAAGGTTAACAATGTAGGTGTTAAGCACAGAAAGCAGACCGCAAATGTGTGCCCGCACTGTGTGTGAACTGGTCAGAAATCAACACAGTGCTAGAGCTGTCGGAGTCTAAAACATAATTTACTCCCTGTATCTCACTCCACAGATAAGGAACCCTGGGCCCAGATGTAGAAAGTTGTCTGCTAAGGTCCATCAGGACATGAGTTTCTTCCTTCATCCCTTCCTCCCACTTACATTTATAGATAATAGCCATGAGGATGGCAACAGCAACAGCTGATATTCACTGGAGCTAAATGCCAGGCGCCGCAAGATGGGCCTGACCTGCCGCGTCTTATTTACTCGCCTTACAATTTTATCCAAAAGACAGAAGAGGACGACGCTATAGGAGATAGAGTGAAAAAAGAATCAGTAATATCAGACTTCTGAGAAGCTGGATGAGTCAGGAACCAAGCCTCAGGGGAGGCGATCAGTCTTGGGCAGTACAAGGAACCTTCTTTTCCACTGGAGTGGACCCAACAGGAGCCCTGGTGGCACAGTAGTTAAAGTGCTCAGATGCTCACTGAAAGGTTGGCAGTTTGAACCCACTAGCTGTTCCATGGAAGAAAGATGTGACAGTCTGCTTCCGTAAAGATTATAGCCTTGGAAACCTTATGGGGCAGTTCTGCTCTGTCTTTACGGGGTCGCTATGAGTCAGAATCATCTCAATGGCAGTGGGTTTGGTTTTGTGGGACAGAAGGATACAGGTAAGTTTGTAGGCTTCACAGAAATGGAGTTTCCTCCTAATGGTTTCTGCTTTCTTGGTCAGAGAGGTAACTAACAGTAAGGGAAGGTCTCTGGGTCAAGGGTTTGAAAAATATGGAGAAGATTTAAAATAGCTATTCTTGAAACCGTCAGGAGAGCTAACTAAGGAAACACAGAAAGATCGCCAGCCAGGGGTGAGGGCCCCACTGGGGGAGCACCTGGAAATTATAGTGACACAAATCTGACCATACATGATTTCTCCTGCATCACTCTCAGCCTGGTTGTAAAAATGGAGCAAGAATTGCAGAAAACAAAAATAATGACTCAGGCTAGCATGCACACAGAATTTAAAAAAGTTAAGTGTGCTTTTTCCCAAGAATTTATGAGAGTAGAGATAACAATCAGGTTCAGATGTATGCAGTGCAATTTAATCAGAGGCTTTTAAACAGATGCCTAAACATCTGTTCAGGTATAAAAAATAATAAAAGTTTATACACTACCATCCTGAAGACAAGGAGACTGGAAGTTTTCAATCGAAAAGACCCACACATTCTTTGTAACTCTCTTTTTAAGCTTTGAGGAATCCCAGCTCTGGGAAGAAAAGACTTTAAGAACATTTTTTAGTCTTGAGATTCTAAGATTCTATAGTCAGATTTTAAGATGAACAATACTTATAAATGCCTGTTCTTCCATCCAGGGATGTGGTCTGAGATTCTGCCCAAACACATGCCTTCTGGTAAGAAGCTCTTTGTGGGACACTGAGTCTCTTGCCTCTGAGAACTCTCGCTTCTCTCTAGCTCCTGTTTCTAGCTTCTCCTGCATCATGTGAAAGAAAAGTGGTCTGTTTGGAAATACCTTGGAACATAGCAAAGAAATTGAAATGTGAAAAGTTGGAGAAAGTTTCCTGAATCCAGGCAGATTTTCAGTTTTTAGAAGAAACAAAAAGAGCTAAGAGTTGGGAGCTCAGAAAACGAGAATGATTACACTTCTTTATGGCACAAGTTACTCTGAATGGATTGCTCTCTCTTCTCTGCACTTTCTTGAAAGTGAGTGTGCTTTTCATCTGCCAGCGCTGACACTAATTCCACTATGACACTGATGCTTTTTTCTGAACATAATCAAAATGTTGTTTTTCAGTAACCAGCAAGATAGAAGAGCTACTATTATTTCGTATAATTTAACAACTTACTAAACCCGTTGCCATCAAGTCGATTCCAACTCATAGCGACCCTACAGGGCAGAGTAGAACCGCTCCCATAGGATTTCCAAGGAGCAGCTGGTGGATTCGAACTACCAACCTTTGGTTAGCAGTCCGAGCTCTTAACCACTGTGCCACCAGAGCTCCAACTTAACAGCTTATTTATCATTAATAATAAAATCTAAAAACAAACTCTACTAATAAATTTATATTTACAATCTGGAAAACTGTAACTGTAAACATTTAAAAAATGAAAGACCAAAGTTTTTATGAGCATATAAGTCAGAGTATTTTGAAAAAAATTAGTTTCCACCAAAACTTGTTTTCATTTTTTCGTCTTCCCTTTTTGCCACCTACAAATTAATATATGATCAGGAAAAAAAAACTCATTTCCCTTTATGGTTTTAGTTATTTCTAGAAGTATTCTATTTCTAAGCCTAGGACTCCACATGTTTAGCTCTAAGGGTGAAAAAAATCACAAGAGGAAGCTTCCTGCAAACTGATAAGAAGCTCTTTGTGAGACACTAAATCTGTTGCCTCTGAGAACCATTACTTCTGCTTCTAGCTTCTCCTGCTGCAAGTGAAATATCTGAAGAAAAACCATCTTTAAATATTTGAAGAACAACTGCACCTGAGAACTAAACTTAGATCAATGAAGTCCATCTTCTCCCCAAGACAGAGAGTGAATTTTTTTTTTTTTTTTTGCTGTAATTAAAGAATATAGTGGTGCAATGGTTAAGCACTTGGCTGCTAATGGAAAGGTTGGTGATTCGAACCGACCATCTGCTCCACAGGATAAAAGACCTGGAGATCTGCTCCCATAATTATTACATCTTAGGAAACTCTATGGGGGAGTTCTACTCTGTCCTATAGGATCTCTACAGTCGGAATTGACTCGACGGAACTTAACAACAACAACACAGTCTGAGGAAAAGAAACCAAAAGTCAAACTGGAAATACACCTGAAAACTTAAGTTAGAAAAACCCAAAATATTACCATGTGACAGGTGTGAGTCTGGGGTCTGCATACCTTTGGTTACGTCTGGAGTTACAGTGGTGTTTTTGATATCTGGAGAGGCAGTTGTTTGTTCCGTCTGTGCAGGGAATTCATTGCCACTTCGAGGTTGTAGTGGGTGAGTAAATTTGGGGGCATGACCTTGAAAAAAATTTAAAAAACTCTTTGTTCTTTTCTCTACACCAACTTGATTAAGATAAACTTGAGATATCAAATTCTCACATTTCAAGCAGGCCCACCTTTGGCTATTTTTGGAGGGGCTGTGGTATTTTTGAGGTCATTGCTGTTCCGAGGAGGTGGAGCTTGAGTAAATTTTGGAGGACGACCTTGAAAAAATGGTTTAGAAAAGTTTATACATTTTGCTGATAAAATCGTAATTAAAAATATAATTTTAAGTGTCTTCAAAATTTCCTACAGTACTTAATTCTGCAGAGTAATTTTAAATCTCAGAGAGAAATATATCAGGAGGATAGATATTATAATCTGCATTAAATGGAGAAATTTCTCAGATTCATTAGTTTTTAAATAATTAAGTTGTCTAAAAAAAATCTTAGGAAGGAGAATAACAGTGTGGGATGATGTTGGATTCTAAAGCTATAAAGGTGTCACCACAATTTGATATATTATTTACTCATTTAATAAATACTTATGGAGGGTCCATTATCTATCAGGCATTGTGGTAGGTTTCATGGATACAACACTGAACATAGTATTAAAATATTATACAGTATTGAAGGAAGTTATTCCCTTTTTAACTTATTCAAAATAAAAGGCCCTTAAACTGAGTACTGCTATAATCATCAGTGCTTATGTGACGCAAATATTATAATATGTGAGAACTGATTAAAAACTACTAAGATTGAGACTAGACCTGGAAAGCAATCTCATTACATTATCTTACGAATGATGCTCTCTTATTCCACCTGTAATTTTGGCAACCACCCTGATACCTGCCTGACTTTTTAACAGGATAATTATTTTTTTTAAATCCCTTTAAGAAGATATTGTAACTAGAGCTTACACACAAAAATATTCACATTATCCTTAATTATGTTCTGTGAGAACAAAACAATTTTTAATTAACAACCCACAGAAACTAACATGTCTTAAAACACACAGTTGCTTTACCTTTAGGAATAAACTGACATCCAAGCAGTTCCACTTTCATGGCAATTTTCTGCTGCCACTGGATAGGGTTCACTCTAATAAAACGTGCAATAATTGGTGGCAAAAAGTTATTACGCACATCCTGGTGATAATCTTTGTTTCCTTGAAATATCTTTAAAAAACAAAAAATTGGTACTTTATATTAACAGAGGTCACGATTAAATTCTTTCATTTAAACTGTTTTTGTTTTTTTTGCTCTGGGCCTTAAATGAGATCTGCAAAGTATGACGATAAGCAAGAAATAATTTTTAAGTAAATAAATTAATCATAATTCAGAAAAACTATTAAAAAGCTGCACATTCTTCATAAAAATTTATAAAATAAAAATACAGAACATGAAATGATTTAAGATAATTTAAGAATTTAACAAGGATGCTAAATTGGCAGTTTGAGAAGGTTTCTATTGCAGTGAGGTTTACTGTATTAATAACCCAGTAACTCTAGTCCTGTGGAATTACCAACTATTTAAACATATTAATTTTATTTTCAAAGTACAGCATAACTGAACAGAAGAGGTCTTTAGAGGAAATACTTTGCTTGTGTACTTTTCATTATTTTTCTCTCAATAAATAGACTGAAGGTGAACAAATACTAATGAACATGTAACATATATACCACCACCTACTGGATAAACTACATAAAAACAGCTCCTATATTATAGGTTAAGAGCTATGGATGCTAATCAAAAAGGTCAGCATTTCAAATCCACCAGCTGCTCCCTGGAAACCTTATAAGGCAGTTCTATTCTGTCCTATAGAGTCGCTATAGAGCCTATAGAGTAGCTGTTGAGTTGGAATCGACTCAAAAGCAATGGGTTTTTTTTTTTTTTATAACTCCAAGATCATTCATTGTTGATACGTGAACCAGGAAAGTGACTTTGAAACAGTGTTCTGTACCTAATTTAATGATTAAAGCTAAATAAAAAATGCATTATATAAACAATCCCAGGAGTTCTGGTGGCACAGTGGTTAAGCGCTCAGCTGCTAACAGAAAGGCTGGCAATTCAAACCCACTAGCCAGTCCACAGGAAAAACATGTGGCAGTCTGCTTCCGTAAAGATTACAGCCTAGGAAACCCTATGGGGCAGTTCTACTCTGTCTTACAGGGTCACTATGAGTTGGAGTTGACTCAACAGCAACGGGTTTGGTTTGGTTTTGATGTAAACAATCCTTAGGAAGAGATATTATTTTAAGTGACTATCTCATATCTCATTCCCTCAGCTACTTCAAACAAACACTGAACAGTTCTTAATAATTTACAAAGCATTTTCATGTAATTTTTTGCTCTTCCTGACAACCACATGACATAGCAGAGCATAGGAAACCAGGGTGCAGAGAATGCAAGTGGATTGATTGCACAGCCAGACTAGTCAATGACTGAGTGGGAACACGACTCTGGGTCTTCTGACTTAGTCTAGGGCTCTGGGCTAAATCATCTAGGTAATTTCTGAAGATCATTAATAAGGAGACACCAGTCTACAATCAAACTGAATTATTTTTTATCAGCTAAAAGTGAGAGTAAGAAAATGTTTAATTTCTCAATCAAGTTATTTCAAAACATTAGGGCCATTTTATTCTTGGCTGACTCCCATGGCATTAGTTATAAATTTCTAAAAATATGACTCTACGTTTTCTAAAAGGCTTATTTTGAAGTTACAATAATCTACAAACTAGCAGGCTTCCATTATTTCCTCAGATATTACTCAAAAATTAAATGAAGACAATTTATTTGTAATCTTTATTATATTAGTAGAAAGGAACAATGGCTAAATATCATTTTAGGACATAAAAGTGATCTCCGAGATCTTATTCCTTCCTGCAGTCAAAATTTTATAAAAACTTAGCAGGTGAAAAAAAAAGCTTATAAAAACTGAGTGAAAAGATTTGCTATCGTTAACCTATGAGCATCTGTGGAGGGTCCTCTGTGTCCTGGAGGGTCTGCAAGGTGTCATGAAGGCAAAGCAGAAGTGGACATCAAAGTGCCCACTCTCAAGGAACTACATTTTATTGGACATTACCAAACATAAATATGACATATTTAAAAAGTAATGTATTATGAAAGCAAGTTGTGTCTGTCTACCCATCCATCCATCTAGCCTGCTTTGGGAAAACAAATCCAAAGCTGTCTCTATGTAGCTGTGTGGTCATGCATGTGTGCATGCTTAGAAAAGGTGTGAAAATAGAAACACCAGCATGTTGACAACAATTACCCTTGAGGAGCTGGGTATAGATGAGACACAGATGGGCAAATATCAGTGAAGGAAAAGATGTTATTTCATATAATTCAATGCAAGGACTTCTGTTTCTGTCCACAACAGAGTAACTAATAGGGACTGGACTTGCCCTCCTGCCTCAAGCATATGAAAAATCAGATAAAATATACAAAACAATGGCTTTCAGATACTGGACAATAGGCAGCACAGGGCAATGAGCCCTGAGAGAAGGGAAACAAATGAAGCAAGTCCTACTATTGCCCCCATACTGTCTCTGGAGATAGTTTACAAACTGCTGTGCAGGAAGGGAGATTCCACACTGAGCCTGATGGCCTCCCTGAGCTATGGAGATGGAGCTCAGAGATCAGGAATGCAAGGCAGCTAGAACTTGCAGGGCAGAGTGTAGGAGAGAGGAGAGCTTCAGAGAGACAGAGAATGAAATGTCTACAAATCTGTAGGGGGCTTCCCTGAAATCTTTGGCTGCATTTAAGAAAACCACCTGTGGTTCGAGAAAGAACCACTGAAAAGGAGTCAGTGCAACAACTGTCAGAGCTCCCACAGGGCTGGGATCAGCTCACATTTCCAACAACCAGAGTGGGAAAACCTCATAAAACATGGAACATTGGATTGAGAACTCAGAAGACCACTGGCTCAGTGATGGAGAAAAATTAGCCCTACACTACAGGCTGCTCAGGTCCTGCCTAACAAAGCTTAAAAGCAAGCCTTAAGTAAAACTGTTTCTAAGTAACTTAACTGCATTCCAGAATAACGCTAAAAATATTTTAAAAAAGTATAAAGCCAGCACCAAACAACTAAGCAATGTAAAGTTCACAATGTCTGGCATTCTACCAAAAATTACCAGGCTTGCAAAATATGACCCATAACGAGGAGAACTATCACTCAATTGAAAACACCCAGATTTAAAACGCATGAGAAAATCAGTAGACCAGGACATCAAGAGTTATCATAAATATACTCTATGTGCTCCAGAAGATAGGAAAGAGAACGAACATGTTAAGGAGTGATACAGAAAAACTAAAAACAAACAAAAAAAAAAAACAAAAAAAACCCCTCAAAACTGAAAATCTAGAGGTGAAAAATAACAATATCTAAGATAAAAATACATGCCAAAAAAAAAAAAATCTGTTGTCACTGAGTCGACTATAACTCATGGCAGCCCACGTGTTACAGAGTAGAACTCCTCCGTAGAGTTTTAGCTGTCATCTTTATGGAAGCAGATTGCGGGACCTTTCTTCTACGGTGCCACTGGGTGGGTATGAACTGCCAACTTTTAGGTGAGCAGTCCAGTGCAAACCATTTGCACCCCTCAGGGACTAGATGGTATTAATAGAAGATTAGACATTGTAGAAGAATAGATTACAGAGTTTCAAGACAAAGCAATACAAATTTTCTAAAATAAAAGAGAAGAAAAGATTGAAAAAAAAACAAACAGCATCTGTTTGGGACATTTTCAAGGGTCATAATATTTATGTAATTAGAGTTGGGGGGAATATTTGATGAATAAATGGCGTAAAGTTTCTCAAATTTGATGCAAACTGTAAACCACAGATCCAAGAAGCTCAAAGAACCCCAAGCAGAAGAAACATGAAAACTACACAAAGGCACAGCATAACCAAATTGCTTAAAACAAATGATATAAAGAAAACTTTAAAAGCAGCCAAAGGAAAAACACATTACACAGGGAGGAATGAAGAAAAGAACGGTAGCAGAATTCTTACTGAAAACAACGCAAGCCAGAAAACAACGCACCAGCATATTCAAAGTACTGAAAGAAAAAAGCATCAATACAGAATTCTTTATGCAGTGAAATTATCTTTCAAAAAAGAGAAAAAAAATTTTTCAGAAATATAATTCAATGCCATTAGACATTTCTACAATATAAGCATGGATAATTTTTGTAATTTCAAAAAACTAGTTATATTCCACAAGTGTAATAGATATTATACAAATAAATATGGATGTGCTAGAAATAGAGTCGTCAAACTGGGGAGGGGGGATTAGGCAGAAGTAGGCTAGGTTCAGAGACAGTACTGTTACTTGCTTCCATGGGTAGAGGCTCACCAAAGATGAAGTTCATGTGAAATCAAGGAGAAAGGAGGAAAGAAGACCTTGAATAACAGCAGAAGAGTTTAGATCCACATAAAAGATAATAGGGAGCCCCTGGAAATTTCTGACCAGAGAGATGAAAAAAAGTGGTAACTGAAGATATATTAGCAACTCATACATAATACAGAAATGACAGTGTATTATTAAAACAAAATTCATAGGGAAGTTTCACTGAAAAAATGTGCCCATAATTACAATTCTAGACATGAGGCATCTATCTTGGGAACAGGGACTTCCCTAGTTACAAGATCCTTTGTGGTGGTTCATGAGGCAAGAGCCTGGGTGAAAGGAATAAAGATCAGAATGAGATCCACCTCTACCTATCCTCTATCCCTTATCATCTGCTCTCGCTTATTATAGCACTTTATAATTTTTTGCTAGGTAAAACAATTTTATAATGACCACAGAAGTTAAGGAAATTCTTTAGATAGGAAAGCAATTTTCTAAGATGGAAGTTGGTGGGATAGTCTTGACATGGCATTCCAATTCCGTAACATTCTATAACTTATTGGACACTTCAGCTTTTAGTTATTTTGTCTTCTCCCACCCCTCCCTTAACTACAGAGTAGAAAATTGGGAACAAATTAGGTTCTCCATCATTCTGTGGGATAAGAAAAGCTTTATAAGGACAAGAAATTACAAGTTCTGTTTTTAGACTTACTTAATAGAGTGTCTAAACAACCCAGTTAAAAACGTAGTAACAAAAATCAGGAAATTACTAACCCTTAAAATCACCAAAAGGGACCTGGTATCACTGAGAATTTTCTAACTATAGTCAAAAGGCTAAGGCCATTAACTAACACTACCTAAAATAACCAGAAGAGGGCAGAGTTATGACAAAATGTTCTTTAACTTTTATATCTTCTACAGTCTATAAGCTTTGGAAAAGGTCCATTTTCTAAAGGTTTTGTAAAATACCTTGGTAATCATTTTACCTTATCTTGCTCCACACCAGGCTCTCTGTACACAGTCCATTTCTGCCCATCATCACTGTACAGAATTTTGTAGGCAGACACATAGTAATTGTGCTCCACCATGGTGGATCCAGTGGTTATGATGCCTGGGGAACGAAGAGTTACTTTCATTAGCCCACACAGGCCGATCTCCAAAATCTATTCAGCATCAAAGCATAAATTCCTGAGATGCACTGTTCAAAAATTTCTATTTATGACACATTCCCATATGTAAGTGCACAGTTTCACTATAATAGTTGCTAAATCTGTGGCTTTGTTCCCATGCAGAGACAGGAAGAATTATGGGCTTGTATAAAGAAAAGGCTATTTCATTTTTGGCAGTTTGTGTTCGTAATCATTGTGAAATATATTTCAACTTCTGAGTAAGAATGACTTCCTGGGAATTAGCAGATTAAAGGTGATCACTGTTATTATTTAAGTACCAAAGCAATATAAATC